AGAAATTAATAAGACTAACATGATTGTTAATAATTAGTTGTAATCTGGTTAATCTACATGAAATACATTAATAAAATCTATTATCTTATTTTGTATTGTTTGTCAGGAATGGCATCCACTTCCTAAACAACATGCCTCCGCAAACTCTATGAACTTTGGTAAATGTCTGTAGTTGTAGAGGGGCTTCAGGCCTTTTGTTCACAGGGTCTCTATGAGTTGTACTCAACTTAATAGCACTTAACAACAACAATCATAACATAATCATTTTTACTGCACATAATAAACTTCGTTTCAGAAACATCATCTTGTTTAAGCTAACAGTGATAGAGCCTTGTGTTTTTCTCTGACTTTGTTATTATGTGATGGTAAAGTTGACAGCCCAATCTGAAAACCCTCAAACACTTTCTGTCATTTTCACTGAAAACTTGCCTTGTTGGATTCGTCTTACTTGGCAGAGATAGTGTTTTGTCTCTACAACCATATTACAAGCTCCTTAAGAATAGACATCTTGTCTTTGTGTATGCTTCTAAGCAATCTGTGTTCAACATGTAATTAAAAGTACAGTTTTAGTAAATAACTGCCAAAAATTAAAGCCTTAGTCTAAGTATAAAGAATGGAAAATATTATTGCTTATGTCAGATGGATCTTCGTTGAAAGTAGAGAATACCAGGAAGATGTTTACTTTTGTTTCTTGGGGCACCATCTTTCCTTGAAATTTTCACTTATTCCTCTAATAGTAATGTGCACGTTCTTCTGCTGATGCCTCCCTGTCTGCACTATACTTAAAATCATAATTACTTGTGTGGTCCTCCTCCAGTAGACTCTGTGCTTCTTAAAAGAAGGAGCATGTGTCAGCCTCCATGCTTGAAGCAGTTTCAAGCATGTGGAAGGGGCAGTACATGTATGTGAAGGTCAGGAAGACAGACAGAAGGTTGTTTTATTACTTTACATTGTTTAACCTGGTTTACTGCTTAAAAAGACTTTTGTTTTAAAAAGAAAGGCAAAAACTTGAAAATAAACCTTTCCTCAAATAGTTTTACTTAATTTTGCTGTATACATAATTTAGCGTGAAAATAATATAATAGTTTTAGGAAACAATAACAGAAAATCCACTCATTTTATTATGCATTTATTATTTTAAGTACATATAAATAATTATACATGTAAATAAACACATATATATTTTCTAATGATTGTCATGGAAATTCATGTATTTAGGACAATGATATTTTACCAACTATATCTCCTAGATCTTTAAAAGACTTCCTTGGAAGATATTGGTCACATAAAAACCTAAATAATCTCATTAAAAAGGACAGTATTACATCCAAAATATGAATTGTTGTTGCATGCCAGTGAGTCACTTGCAACTCATAGCCACCCTATGTGCAATAGCCCTGAAACCTGCTGTATCCTGTACCACCTTTATTGTCTCTGCAAAACCTACCTCATTACCCCAGGAACGGAATGAATCCATCTCATCGAGGGTCTTCCTCTCTTGTCCTGTCCATCCACCCTTCCAAGCATGATGTCCCTCTCCAAGGTCTGGTCCCTCCTGGCAACATGCCCAAAGTATCAGACGAAGCCTCAGAATCCTTACCTCTAAAGAGCAGCCTGCTTTCACCCCCTTCAGGCGACTAACCTGTTTGTTCTCCTGGCAGTCCATGGCATATTCAATACCCTTTTCCAGCACCACAGCTGAAAGGCATCAATTGTCTTTCTATCGTCCCTAGTCATTGTCCAGCTTTCTAATGCATAACAAGTTATTGTGAAGACTATGGCCTGCATCAGGAACACCTTAGTTTCCACTTGATGTTGTTGCTCTTCAGTACCCTGGAGAGGTCCCTGACAACAGACTTCCTCATTGCAATTTGTCTTTTGATTTCCTGGCTGCTGGTACCAAGAGTGTTGATTGTGGAGCCAAGCAAACTTAAGCTCTTAACAATTTCAATCTCCTCACCATCTATTATGATGCCAATAGACCCAGAATCTTTGGTGAGAATCTTTGTTTTCTTGATGTGAGCTCCAATCCATATTGAAGGCTGTAGTCCTTGATCTATGTCAGCAAGTACTCCAGGTTCTCCTCAGTTTCAGCAACCACAGCTCTGTCATCTATATAATGCAGGTTGTTGATAAGTCTTCCTCCAGTCCTGATGCCGCATTCCTCCTCATAAAGCCTAGCCTCCTGGATGATCTCTTCTGCTTAGAGATTGAAAAGGTATGGAGATATGATGTCATAGATGCAGCTCTATGACAAGAAAACATTTTTTCATTTTCCCAACTGTTTACTTTTAACAAATTAGGAAAAGTGTTTAATATTAGAACAAGAATTGACAAGTATTCAATAGGCTTAGCACCATGATGGATAGAGAATAGATTGAAGTTGTTAACAGTTACAGCTTGCCCAGCTCCACAATTAACTCTCTTGACACCAGCAGTTAGGAAATCAAAAGACAAATTGCACTAGGTAAAACTGCTGTCTAAGACCTCCCAGAGTACTGAGAAACAATTATATCATTCTAGAGTCTAAGGTGCACCTGTTCCAGGCCATGGTCTTCACAATTACTTGCTATGCATCAGAGAGCTGGACAATGACTAAGAATGATAGAAGAATTATTGATACTTTTGAGTTGTGGTGCTGGAGAAGAGTCTTGAACATACCATGGACCACCAAGAAAACAAACCAATCTGTCTTGGATAGGGCGAAAGCAGATTTTTCTTTGGAGGCTAGGATTTTGAAGCCCTGTCTCATATATTTTGAGCATGTGGCCAGGAGGGACTGATCCTTTGAGAAGGACATCATGCTCAGAAAGGTGGAAGAACAACACAGGAGAGGAAGACCTGGAATAAGATGGATTGACACAGTTATTAGGGGAATGTGGGTAGGTGTGTTGGAGTCAGTGAGACTGGCTCAGGACAGGGCAGGCTTCAGAGCTGTTGTAAATGGGGTTGCTAGTAGTCACACGTGTCTTGATGGCATATAACAACAACAAGGACAAAACCAAAATGGAGTGAAAAGACAGAAAAGAGGGAGGAGATATAGAGGCAAGGTATGTGTAAGGTTTGGAGGAGGAAATAGAAATATTCAGAGTTTCTTTAGTAGGTATTCAAGTTTTATCTTTGTATGTTGGAATCCTCATTCAGCATTGAACTAATGAATAGCATCAGTAAATATATTTGTCAGACCTGGTGCTTGTATCAGGGATCATGTAGGAAAATTGTAATGAATGCTAGGAAAATAAATAAGGATAAGTTCAGGAAACATAACTGAAAATGCTGCACTGGTATAAATTGAATAATAAAATTCCTAGTCATATTTTGCCATAAATAGAGGTTTGGGAATTTGTCATTCACCTTATTTAAAATTCAGAAGTATTAAAGGTACAGGGTTCTCTCATTACAGAAATAATAGAATTCCAGCGATTACTGAGTTAGGGTCATTTAAATGGCTATAGCCTGCATTATATCAATAAGTGGAACATCTGTATGAAATGTCCACCTGCTGATCTACTGCCCCTATTCTTCACACATTGCAATGAACCACATTTAATCATTTTAAGACTTCTTCTAATGAAGTCTTATCTAGATTAACATTTTAAGCACAAATACTTTTAGGCATTAAAACACTCACACTAAATGAAATTGCATTGTCTTGTTTACTCTTGTTGATTAATAAGCAATCTGTTAACTGTTAGAACAGTCCAATTGTGGCACTAGAAAGAGATTAGTAATTCAGCGATGTTTGTGGATATAATCATCATTTCTCCTGAAGGCTTTGAATTAGAATATCACTTACACAATATCCGTAGGCAAAGCAAGGATATAATATTTTTAGACATGTGTACCCACTATTTCCCTCAAATCGTTCAGCTTAGGGTCACTGCAGCAATACAAATGCTTCTGGGGGCAAAATGTTATTTTGATGCATGAATATCCTTCCTAAATCGTGTGAAAGCCTATTAAAAGAAACATAGCAACCAACAAATAGTGCAGTAATAATCGAGCATCTTAATTTCTGTTTTCAGAACATTATTGCTTTGTTAATCAAGCTTTGCAGAAAAATACCACTCATCTTCCTCCCTCTCACTAATAGATTTTATACATCAAGATTCGTTGCAATCTTATGTCATTATTTCCAGTCAGTGAAAAATGAAACTTTTTTGCTTCACACAACATTGAAATAAATTTTTAAAATCCCCATTTCTTTTTTGGAAGATTTTCCAGTATTTGGTATTTCCTGTGATCTGCAATCAAAGTCTGATTGTTTAATATTTGTATGACTTAAGTGATTTATTTCAATAGATTATAAATTTTTAATTACCTGGGTGTTAAGGTATACTGCTACATTTTGGAGGGAGAAATCACTGAAATTGTGTAGAGGAATGGATGTAATTAAGGTTTTCAGCTTTAGTTGAGTACTTGTAAGAGACTTCTAATCTAATGGGAAAAGAGTTCTGGTGGCACAGTCTCTAGAGAGTTATGATACCAAGTCAAAGGCCAAACCTCTCTGGTGGTTCAGATGCACCAGTAACTCCAAGGGAGAAAGATGGGCAATCTCCTCTTGTGAGATTTACAGCCTCAGAAAACAAATGGAGACTTAGTTCCAAATCAACAACAATGGGTTTCTTTTTGTTCTAAAGGATATCCTAGAGCCTTTCATCTCATTCAGTTGTTGGTTTTTTTATTTTTCCTAGCTGAGCAGTCACCACGGTTTAGAATTATGTTGGAAGAGGGTACTTCATCTTTTATGGAAAGATGCTTCATAGACATTTATGGATTGCCCCCTCTTTGTGTTGCAGACATTATGTTCTGAAATAAAGCAGCGGCGTCGAGGTGTGGCCTCTGTTCTGAGATTATGCCAGCATCTTCTGGATGACCGGGAGACCTGCAACCTCAACGCAGACCACCAGCCCATGCAGCTGATCATTGTAAACCTGGAAAGGAGGTGGGAAGCCATTGTCATGCAAGCTGTTCAATGGCAAACACGGCTACAAAAGAAGTTGGGAAAGGAGTCTGTAAGTGAGCTTGCTTTCTTTTTCTTTTTCTTTTTTTTTAAATAAGAACAGTAGTTTCTCACATGCCCCAAAAGGAAAAAAAAAATTTCAGGACCTGGTTTCACCTAACTAAAGGTTATAGCTATCTAAAAACCATTAAGTTAAACTTTACTATAACACAGAGATTTATTTGCCTTACTAATTAGATGCATTTTAGCGTGAGTCATTGTCAAAACACATGGAGATTTTGTTTGACTTTACCAGATGGAACCATCAATTATATCAACCAATCCTTTACAAGCAAAATTCATTAAACGTATAGTATACAAGAATATTTTACTAGGTGTCTTAATACTCCCAGAGAATCTAGAACAATGTATATGGGCTAGAAATAAAGCGATGGAATAAAACATACTTTCCATTATATGATAGGACTGAATACTGTCCATTTGCACACCAATCCTCCTTTGTTCCTGCCTGCAGTTCAATTTGATAGCATTATCACACTACTGAGAGCTAGCAGGTCTCTTCTCAGAGTTTTAAGGCAATATTAATCTTTAAGGATTTCCAAAATTGATTGCGAATTCTGACTCTTGGCCAGATGAAGGATATACATTTGACTAGAAAGTTGCCTCATTGTACTACATAACGCATACTTGTACAAGGAATACCTTTACTCCTGTAGGAGAAATAATTCATGAATTAAAAGTATCACATTCCTCAAATTGATCTTGAGCTGGTACCGTTAATTGAAGGGATAACTCTCATGTCTTACTAACATAAATAAAATACATACATATATGCATAATACAATAAAAAGCTCAGAAATATATTTTCATTCAAGCTTTTAAAACACTCCCACTGGGGAGTCTTCCTATGAGTCCTAGTATTATCAAAACCAGTTAAGCTTTCCTGCTCTTTTTGCATCTGTAGCTATATTGAGTTTAGGGGGTGATTTTATCCTCATCAATCCTGCTTAATTGTTTTGAGCTGAAGTTGGTAAATTTCCTAAGACTTCAAAGTTATTACCAGTAATCAGAGTCTATATAATTGAATGTCTTTTCTTGAAATGACCTGTTGTGAAGCTATTTAGCTGGAAGGTTTTTGGTTGTGTTGCAGTTTTTTGTGTGGGTTTTTGTTTGTTTGTTTGTTTGTTTTTTAAAGAGTGTTTGGAGGTCTTTTTTTTTTCTTCTATAGTGTGGAACCTCTCAATATAGTTGTTGTTATGTACCATCAAATTAGAACTATCTTATAGGTGATCCTCCAGCAGATTTTTAAAGTATTTAATCAAACAGGAGGAGATTGCTCCTCTTTCTCCCTCAGAGCAGATGGCAGATTTGAACTTCATGCCTTTGTTTCCTTACTAAACCGCAAGGGTTCCCTCTCAATGTGGTAGTGGCAATAAATAATACTTTAACAAAACCACATGCAATTGGGAAAGTTCTGACATTCAGTAACCGACAAACTATTTTGAAAGGGAAAAGCTGGTTTGTGTTGGGATTTATTTGAAATCAGATAATCAGAAATTTTGGACTCTATCTTTTCAGAAAAGACGCAGACATACTTAACCCACTTCCTCAGTGAAGTAGTAAGCTCTTATGAGCTAGGGAGTTATACCGCTAACTCAGAGGTGGTACTTCTCTGTCAGTTCAAACTCACCCAGTGTTTCCATGGAGAAAGATGAGCAGCCTTCTACAAGAATTACCACTTCCAGAAACCCTCTGGATGTCAGCTATGAGTTGGTTCCAACTTCACAGCACTTTGAGTGAGTGAATCTACAGTGAAGCGAAGTTTTAGTTTGGAAAAACCTGGAATGCGTCTCAGATGCTGAAGCTACACTGAGACAGAGTAAATTGCACATAGTGAAAAGTGTATAATTTTCTTGAGATTTGCTGTGGAATGTGAAGGTTGTTTGAAAAATTTAAAGTACCCAATAAGGCCCTTTGGGTCAAAGAAACCAAAAACCACTGAAAGGAAAGGTTTTTGAAAAGTAGAGAGGAACATTAACGTAAGCAATTCAGCAAGCAACAGAATATATCAGTTGGAGATGATGGCAATATTTATTTTTCATGTCTCTATTGGTTGAGTAAAGAGCCTATCTTGCCTTGATGGACAAACTAGTATTTCACTGATGTGGAAGGTGGCCTTGTAGATAATCACATACCTGTCAGTGAACTGTTTGCTTATCATATGTCCCCACTCAAATCCATTCCCCTGCTTGTGTGGAGGTTCTTGGTTTTATTCACTTTTCTACTTTTCTCAGGGCAGGGATTTAACACACACAGTAAGTAATGGTAAATATTTGTCAAGTAAGTGTGTACATTGGAAGCAAGAGTGGCGTCCACTTCCTAAACAACATGCCTCCAAAAACTCTATGAAATTTGATAAATGTCTCCGGTAGAGGGGCTTCAGGCCTTTTGCTCATAGGGTCGCTGTGAGTCTTGCTCAACTTGAAGGCAATCAAAAACATGCCTATATTATTTTCTAAATTGTATGTCACAAACTATCTTTGAGTGACATATGTTTAAGAATATTTCACCTTCATAAGACCAGAAGATGTTTCTTACTGTTCACTAAGGATGATGTTTCCAAGTTATAAAACATTAAATGCAATACCCTGTGGTATTCTCTTGTTTTTCCAAAAGTCATATTTAAAGGAAATTATGTATGAGACATTAGGTAAAGTTGTTCTAGAACTGTGTGTTAGGTTCAGTACATAGAAAGAGCCTGTATTTTTATGGCTCTATGTTACAGGGTTTTTGTTACTGGGCACTTTGGAAATATCCTTCAAAGAAGTGTTAATCATTCTTCAAGTTATTCCCATTATTCATTTTAGACCTGTTGGTGGGATGGTTTTATTACTGTTGGTTTTCTCCACTTGTCTGAAGCTCAAAGAAATCAGTCATGCGGCAATATTCTGCTCATTATTGAACTCAACAATCCCCACAGAGCACATAGGTTTTAATAGGTTATCCATAATATTTCTAAATAAGTATTTTTTATTTTATTATTTTGTGTGTGTGCACCATCAAATTAGACCTTATTGGTACAGGAGGAGATTGTCCCTCCTTCTCCAGCAGAGTATCTGGTGGATTCGTACTGTGTACCTCTGGGATTGCAGTGCAGCTTCTTGCCACTAGGCCACCAGAGCTCCCTATAAGTGAGGTGGTTTTTCTTTTTTTTTTTTTTTTAAGTAATAATCTGTAGTAGTCATTTTAAAGATTGTTGTTGTTGAGTGACCTTATGTAGCACAGATTGAAATTTTTCCCAACGCTGTACTGTTCTCACAATATCCATTGCATTTAAGCCCATGTTGGAGTCACTGTGTCTTCCTCTTGTTGATTTCTTCCTCTCTTTTGCTTATGTACTTTGCCAAGCATAGTATCCTTTTCCAAGGACAGACACATTATGATGATAACATGCTCAAAGTTGGTGAAATGCAGGCTCACTCTTCTTGCCTATAAAGAAGATCCCTGGCTGTACTTTTTGATTTTCATTTCTAAAGTATCATTGTTATTGAATTGGAACTAATGCATAGTGAGCCCTCTAGTAGATTTTCAGAGGCTACAAATTATACAAGAAGGAATTGCCTGTCTTTCTCCAACAGAATTGCTGATAGATTTGAACTACCAGTAAAGTGCCACCTTTAGATTAGTCATACAAATCCCTATGGACCATTCCACCCAGGCTTCAGGTTCTTTTGACAGTCAATAGTGTATGGAATACTCTTTGCCAACATCATTTCAAAATCATGACTACTGCTCTGTGTTCTTTATTTATTGACCAACTTCAACATGAATGTTAAGTAGTTGAAAATAAGATGGCTTAGACTAGGATCACCTTATTGTTTAAACTGGCATCCTTATTCTTAGTCCTTGATGGCAGACTTTTCCATAGCAGCATATCTTTTGATTTCTTTTCTACTGATTCCATGGGTGTCAATTATGGACCCAAGTGAAATGGATCATTGATAAGTTCAGTCTTTTCTGCATTTGTTATGTTGTTTCATATTAATCCATTCATAATGATATTTGTTTTCTTAATATTGAGATGTAAACTATACTGAAGGCTATAGCCTTTGATCTTCTTCAGTAAGTACTTCAGTACTCTTCACTTTCTGAAAGCAAGGTCTTACCATCTGAACCATTCAGTCTGCTAATGAATCTTCCTCCGATCCAGATACCAAATAGTCCAGCTTCTCAAATTACTTCCTTAGTATTCCAATAGAATAGGTATGAAGAAAGGATGTAATCCTGATGAACACCGTTTCTGATTTTAAAACATGCAATACTCCTTGTTCTGTTGAACAAGAAGCAGAATGATTGCTTCTTGGTTTATGTTCACGTTCTACATAAACACAATTAAGTGTTTGAAATGGCAATTTTCAAAGTTATTTATAATTTATTATGATTCATACAGTCACATTTATTTGTATAATCAATAAAACACAAGCAAATATATTTCTAATATTTTCTGCTCAGCCAGATCCATCTGATGTCAGTACTGCTATTTTTTTTTCTATAACCTTTTCGGAATCTAGCTTGAATTCTGACAGTTTCCTGTTGATGTAATTCTACTGCAGGTTTTTTTAAAAAAACTTATCTTCATCAGATAACATCAGCTACAATATCCCTAGTACCACGACCCCTTCTAAACCCAGCCTGGACTTCTGG